CGTTGCTGATTTGTTTTTTTAGAGATGATGAGACAGAGGCAGGGTAGTACCTTTCCAGGAACGCTTTCTTCATGGCTGCCCATGTTCCTATACTTCCTGAAGGAAGATAGAATAGCCAATCCTTTGCGGTATCCTTCAGTGAAAATGGAAATGCCCGCAGTTTGATTTGTTCTTCTGTCACACCGTTTGGGCACATGCTTGTGCAAACGACGTGGAACTCCGATAAATGTTTGTTCGGGTCTTCTCCCCTCAGGCCATGGAAGGATGGCAGCAGATGAATGAGCCCACATTTTAGCTCAAACGTATTACCCTCATCAAGTGCAGGGAAGGTAATACACAGTAGTTGTTGGTTGAGGTTTGGAGCTGTGAGCTCCCTCAGTGTTCTTGTTTCAAGAGCCATTGTGGTTGGCTCTTCGGTGTCGCTAGAACTAGAGCTAGCGGTGTATGAATCTCTGGAAGATGATTCTTCCGAGTCGGTGTTAGAAAATTTACTTTTCAACCGCTCGAAAGTTTGTTCTATTTCTGGGTTTTTGTGATATGTGATTTCGTTTATGGAACGATGTTTAACCATAAACTCCACTAAGCTCAGAAAATAGAAGAATAAACACTCATTTTTGTTTGGTATATATATATTTTTTGATTTTTCTTGAAATGAAATAAAAGAAAAATTAATTGCCTTTCCCCGGCAACGGCGCCAAATTTGACGTGCACTCGTCGTTAGGTGCACTCAAAATAAATAATCAATACAACACTAATACGTAGTATAGTGTAGTAAGGTTCGTATCCACAGGGAAAGGAATACTTTTCTTTTATAAAAGTAGTAAAAGAAGGGGGGTTTAGATTTGTTTGGTTTAATAACACTAAGATAAACGACCTATATGAGTTTAATTCAATGAGATGGGGACTTGGTTTTGCTTTTATCCACTTAATGAAATGTTCGTCGATCCCGGTTATATCTTTAACTATCTTCCTCTCGAATACTCAATCGAGGAATATATCCAGTTCATCGAGGGTAGTTATTAATAACGAGATGCGTTCATTAATAAAACTTACTATCGAGTCAATATAGAACAAGCGTCGTATATTAACTTGATAGTAGCAATAAACTTAAGGTGAAAACGATTGAGATTGATAACCTCAACACAAGCGATTTATTGGTTTAATCAATATAATTAATCCCCCTTGGCATATTAACCATGAGATGCATGCATTAATATTCCAAGTTTACTACCGTTGAAAGATCCGGATTAATAACAAGCGTATTAACCGATTGATTCTAGTAATAATTAATATGAGAAACAATACTAGTATATACTTTAAGTAATGTTTAATATATTAACATGAAATATGAATAGGAATTAATTAATACTCAAGGAAGAATATTAAAATATATGAATCCTACTATGATTAATATCAAGATGTTAACTAATTGTCATCTTAGTAACACTCCCCAATATTAACATAGAGGAAGAAATAGCTATTACTATAACCAATGTCAAGATGTTAACTAATTGTCATCTTAGTAACACTCCCCAACTTTGATATAGAGATAGTATTTTGAAAGAAAGAATTAATATTCAAGGAAGAAGATTAAAGAAAATAACTCATAACTTACAAATTCATTAAGCTTCAAAGTAGCAAAACCAAGATGGAAGAGTTTAGCTCCTCATTTGGAGACTAAACATGATGAAAAATATAAAGAAAGAGCTATTCTATACTGAGCTTAGATGTACAAGGGATTGAATATCTTTTTGTGAAGGAAAGGAGGTGTATTTATAGGTTTTTGGGATGAGATTCGGGTACTCGATCGGGTATATACATGGTACCCGATCGAGTACGTGTGTAACACTCGATCCGAGGCATACTCGATCGGGTTCAGGCTATTTTCTAAGTGTATACCCGATGGAGTATATATGAATACCCGGTCGAGTATGCTTAGAAAGTGGTATTCGGGCTATACTCGACTGATCTTCGTTTGCAATTCAAAGGCATACCCGATCGGGTATGTCGGTCTACCCGATCGGGTATAGACATAAAATCGTGGCCAAAATCTTCCCTGCATGTTCCCTTGTCTTCGGATCTGATCCGATTTGAAGTTCCAACCTAATACCCGATCGAGTATAGCTAATACTCGACCGAGTATAGACCAAAATTCAGGATCTTCTTTTGTCTTTGAACTTTTGCACCTTCTCTTCACTTTTTGGGTTCACCAACTGTACTTTGAGTGACCAAAACCTGCTTAAGCTCAGAATATATCTAATCTAACCTATTTACAAGAATTTTACAATCTAATCTATTACACCAAAAGTGTGTAATTTCCAAAGTAAAAGTCAAGCAAAACTAATTAAAAACATAAACATAGATATGGAAATTACGAACGTATCAAGGAGCAAGCATGCCTTCTCTAACAGTTAAATATCTGATTTTGCTCCTTCAAAGTTTTGTCAATATACTTCTTCACCTCAATTTCTTTTTGATCTTTTCTGCTTGGATGTTTGTATGTTGGCTTTGGTTTTTAATCCTTTGATAGAGTGTTCTCTGATTTGGTAATTAAAATATAGATGTAGAGCCCGTTTGGCAACATTGAAATTGGCTAAATCGGTTGATTATGTTGAAATTTACGAAGTTTTGATTGAAGTGACTAAACTGGCTAGTTCTGTTGAGTTATGAAAAAGTTATATTTAAAATATTTTTATTAATAAAATAAAGAAAATTATATTAAAATTGTCAAAATGGTTCTCTACAGAAACTTAAATCAATCCAAGCAACAAGAAAATAACTTCAATCTTACTTATTTTGATTATTACACAATTCTGTATGGGAAATTAAAAGTTGCGTGTGATAAAAAGATTGGTTGAAAGCCTGAAAGGCTGATGACCCAAAAAATGGTAGAGTGGTAGATAAACGGGTCTTTCCATAGTTATCAGTACGATAAGTACGGAGTATGTATTATGGATATGTGGATAGTCTTTCTATGTGTAGCGGTCAAGAGTCCAAATTGTTAAATTTTGACTCCTTCCATATGAAAACAATGTTTAGATTCCGTCAATACTGTTTTTCCCTGCAACTGTGCACCGTCAATAAAATACACTCAACATATTTTTTACATATCAATTCAGTAAAACATTAGTTAATACTCCCTCCGTCCCTGAAAATACTTCCAACTTTCCCTTTTCGTCCGTCCCAAAAAGAACTTCCCTTTCCCTTTTTGGCAAAGAATTTGTGGTTCACAACAATTCTTACACATTTCTCTCTCCTCTGCACAACTCTCCACCACACAAAACCCACTTTCTTAATCCGTGTGCCATTTGTACAACGGAAGTAAATTATGGGACGGAGGTAGTATATTTTAAGTAATGTTTTTCTTTTAATATTTCCCTAAATAATTATGATATAAAAAATGCACATTTTGATATAAAAATTAATAAATATCATTGCTTTGTTTTAAAGTTTTCCGGTTAACAAGAATGAACTTAGTTCAAGTAAAATTCGATTATGAAATATTCGGTTATTGTGAATGTCGTTCCATGAATTAAAAATTTGTGTTTCATGTGTTTTTGTGCTCGGGAAAATTTCAACAATTAAAATTTCTGATTTTTTTTCATTTTATATATTACATATTGGTGTCATATGAAAGATCACGAAAATTCATGAATTGTATTATGTTTTTTGAAAAATTTGGAATACAAATAAAAAAGTTATAAAAGTTTTTAAAAAATTGAGGTTTAATAACACAGAAATGACATCATCATTCTGGAGTCAATCTACCCTCTATTAATAACACCCTCAACCCCTTTACCCACTTTTAAGACCCCTCTTAATCCTTCACTACACACATTTAGGAGTCCAAAAGTTCTATTTTTAATTTTCGGACTCCTAAAACCTTTCCACTCCAAATGGTCTTAGAGTTCATTGTCAAAAGAGTCACCACGCTACAAATTAAGGACCACACTCAAATAATCAATGGGGTGTTCGGAAAATGACGTTTCAGCCAAAAAAATAGCGATTTGACAACTTTTAGTGTTTTCAATGAATGAAAACGTCGTTTGTAAAATTGCTGCTCTGCCCTAGCCTTTTCGATGAAACCACTCAAATGGAAACACTGCAAATATAGGAGGGTTTTTGGTTAGCGTTTTGAAAATGGCATTTCATACTATTTTTTATGGCCAAACAGCTAAATTACCAAACATCTTTTACCAAACAGCTAAACCGAAAATGTATATTTAAATAAAGAAAAATAATACAAAATCATAAATTGGTGACACAACTGGGAAAAACAAATTGGAAAAAGGGAAAAAATGATATTTTAGTGAAAATAAATCAAAAAATAACTAAGCTTTTTTATTTAACTTCAGTGCATTTATAGAATTTTCGTAATTATTTTTACATGTTGAAAACTATTTAGTTTGGAAATTTATAAAAATATTTTCATATCTTTTGAAAATTGAAAATTGATTGTTGGAATTAATAAAAAAAGATCGACTATAGTTGAGATTATTTATAGCTTATGTATAAGTCTTATAAAATTGATCTGTTATACCAGTTTGGAAATTTATAAAAATAAGTCTTACTATTTTTGGAAAATGGTCCTATAGTTGGGACTATCATGGAATAATCAATAATTGAGATTATTAAGAGTGAACTGACAATACTTGTGATCATTGTTTTCATTTTTTCCTTTTTAATTTCATATCTGCCTCAAAATAATACGGACTACTAGGAAATTTAAATACTGAACTTTTTGTATTTAAATGAAGTTTTATCTTGTTCCGTGATTTTTTAAGAAAAGGGGTGCAAGGTAACATTTTTACTTTTTTTGGTTAGAATATTTAAATATACGCAATTTCAGCAATCAATGTCAATATGTACGTAAATTGCAATTTAGGAAATTTGATACTCTGTATCAATTTAGGGAACGACTCGCTTTTTCCAACTTTCCAAAAAATAAACCGACTCCACTGTACATTTGTCAGCCGTATATAAATATGAGGAGCTAGAGTATCCCTGCAACCCTACCACTTCACTACCTTCATTCATTCACAAGAAATACTACGTATATCGTTCAACAGAATTTATCTCCGGCCTTGGATCAATTCTCATCCATCATGGACATCGCAGCAATACTCCGGAGCAAGTACAACGTGAAGAAGGAGACAGACATGGTGGCCTTGATAGAAGAAGCCGTGCTGGTCGCCTCCTTGGTCGTGCCGGAACGCCTCAAGAAACATCGCAGCCGTATCGTCAAACTGCTCTTTGATGATAACCCGGCTCGTTCGGATCTGCTCTTCTCCGACGATGAATTGTTCGATGATGATGAGGACAAAAACGGCAGATTGGGCTCCAAGATTACCCATGATTCCCCTTTGCCGCCTGTCAAGAGTGCGGTTGCAGGTGATGATTCATCGAGGAATATTCGTAACAACAAAACCAATATCAAGATCCCGACGAAGGGTGGTGCTGTTTCTCCTCCTCCGGGATGTGGCGGTGGCAGTGATGTTCACGGCGGCGGCGGCAGTGATGTTCACGGCGTGGGATGCAAGAGAAAATCCCTCAAGTGCAGCAAGGTGGTCCAGGCTCCAACATGTGGGGTCAAACAGAGGCTGCTTTCAAAAATAAAGAGGAGGAAGGTCCAATATAATACAACATGGATCCGCTAGCTAGCTAATCATCATAGGATGAAATTGATCGAACCTTATTCGATCTTACATGTATGAACTGGTGAAAAAGTAGAGAGCTAGGTTTAGCTAGTTTGTGTGATTCATGTCAGAACTTCGTGTGGCTTGATCGTTAAGTGTTCACACGAAAACTTGTACCTGAAGTTCGTTAAGTGTATTTTTTTGTGCAGTTAGCAAATTTTTAGTCCTAGTTAAGTCAATATAACTGAAATTCCAAATATTAATACATGGGTCTTGGAGTATTAAAGCATGTTTATTAAAGAATGTAAGTGAAGAGAAGATGGCAATATATATAGAAACAATAAGGAATCTAGTCTCCCTGTTATTGATCGAGTATTACAAGTCAAAGGGGGAGGTTCAAAGGATTGATGCTGCCAATTGCCAGTTGATGAAGTTTTTGAATGTTTTTACCCCATCTGCAGGTTGCTGTTTAAGGATTTCATTTGTACGTACGTGTACCAATTCAGTGTGGCATTGCATGAAGAATTGGGATTGGTTTTTGACTTTTTGTTCTGTTATGCTTATGCAGAGTGAAGTATAAGAATGGTAATAACGATAGTAATTTTATTCTTTTGAAGATTTTACACCTTACTACACTTTGCTTTATCCCACCTATGTGATAGGCTCCTGTTTATCTTATGCTTACACGACCCATGATTTATGATCTTCATTCCATTTCTTGATCTTATGTAGGATCTTGATATTCACTACCTTGATATGTTCATACCCTTGATTCCTTACAAATAATTTTACATGTTTCGAACTACATGTTGTTCAAAACAGCAACAAGCAACATCACCTGATACAATCCTCGGTCTAGTAATTGCCAAACACCCTTATATATAGTTATACCTCTTTAAAATCACTATATTTACTCTTCATGATGTGGTTAATTGTAGGATAAGGTCTTTTTTACCACTTAGCTGAGTAGAAATTGTGTTAAAGTTGCTATTTTTTAGTTATAAATTTTAAAAAGTAAATAATTTATTGGTACTACGTAAATTCAAAAACTGTGAAATAGTACAAGGATGGATAAATGGGAAGGTATTTAAGTAAATAAATGCTACAAAAATTATTAATCAAAAAATTTTCACCCCGAAGCACCACAAACGACGAAGGCCGAATGAAGGATAATGCCCGGAAGGCTGCATAGAATCTTTTTCATATACTAGCACCGTCTAGGCATGGACCGGGCTCGGGCCGGGCCGGTTCAAGCCGGGTTTTTTCCCAGGATGTTGGGCCCGGAACCGGCCCGGGTTTATACCGGGTTCGGGCCAAACCGGGCCGAGCCCGGTTCAAGGTATTTTTTTGGCTTTGTAATTAACCCCGACCCCCCTCCCTCACCCCCACCACCAACCCCCCCCTCCAAAACACCCAGCCCTACCCAAGGAAAAGAAAAAAAATTGAAAAAAAATGAACCGGGCCCGGGCTAGTTCATGAAAATCAAGGCCCGAGCCCGGCCCGCCAGACCCACCCAAACCGAGCTAAATTCCGAATCCGGTCATCCGGGCCCGCACAATAGCGAAGCGGTCCGGTTACTGGGCCGGTTCGAACCGGTTGGGTCCATCCCTACCGTCGTCCCAAATTGATTTGCAAATTTGACTTTTCTTGGTAAACAGTTTCATTTTATTCGCTTAATTAGAATGTCAATTTTTGATTATATTCTACTATGTTGTTTACAACTTTGAAGAGATTTTAGTGTAGTTTCTGAATATGTAAATTTTAATTATTAAAAATTGAATTAACCATCAATTAGGATTATTGACTTTTATTATTGATTGATCAAAAATGTTGACTTTGTAAAACAATTTGGGACTGATGGAGTATAATTGTATTGTATTAATTTATCAGAACATCTAGGCTGCTGCCACGGCAAATGGCCAATTTTGACCAAGTGATCAAATTTTACAATGGGCTTAGAGCTTTGTGGGGTTCGGTTAGAAGCTTATTAGCTATTTTTTGTCTGATTTGATCACTATTAGTCATTTGATTAGACTAATCAGCTAAGAAGTGTGTTTGATTAAATGACTTTTATATTTAGTGCCCGTTTGGTAGCCTAGTTTTTAGCTTATCAGGTTTAGCAGTCAACTTTTTCACCAAACACAGAATTTTTGATTTCACACGTTGAATTGTGTAATAATAAGAAAAAGTAAGGTTGCGGTTACTTTTCTGGTGTATTGGTTGAGGTTACTGTAGAGGACCATTTAAGCTACTTTTACATATAATTTTTTCTTTATGTTATTAATAAAATATATTTTAAATATAATTTTTCAATAAAGCAGCAGAATCAACAGTCACCTCCCGGTCGACTAAATATTGGTCGATCTTAGCAGGAAAGTTTAACTTTTTATAGGTGAATTTTGAATTCAATGCACCTCAACCACTGGAGTTAAATCCCAGAGGTCACCTCTCCTCAACCAATCACCTATCAATGAAAGAATCTCAACCGTCACCTCTTCACGGTATATATATATCGTATACTAAGAGCATTATAAGCGGAGAGCTAATTACTGCACTTAAACATAAACATAAACGTATGGATTTTATTACGTCTCTATTTTTATTTTTATTTATTCTTAATTTGTAATATAGTCTATCTACTATATCACTACTCATAAGGTGTATGTTCTGTCTATATCTAGTTTACTTTTGGAATTCCATGGGTACCCTTGTATTTCTAGAACTAGAATACACTTCTTATGATTCTTAATACTTCGTATAATGTATCTAGAATATCCCTACTATGGGTTTCTATGTGTTCTGAAATTCTATCAAGATATGTTATATCTGGAATTCATATATTCTTGTTTACTTTTGATATTCTATTTATTAGGGTTTCGTTTAATATCTAGTTTACTATATATATGGAATAATCCTTATACAAAATATTTGACATTGCGCACGAAGAATGGGGAGCCCAGACCAGATGTTTTTCCATGTAGGTTGGCAAAAAATATTCGTCCATTACAAATCCTACCCTAAAAAGAAGTTTGAATATGCAAGTATCTCCTATTTCAAGAAAGGTATATCTTCAAACTTTGTAAATGCATGTTGAGATGGCATCATTGTATTGATGGTGAGGTTCTTCTTGTGCAACTTATCTACAAAATATATTTTTCAATATATATATTTTAATATGATAAATAATGGTTCCTTAAATATTTTTAAATTGTGTTCGAACTGTCTTATGAAATTGTTTTTAATTCATTAAAAATCTCTATAGATATGTTCTATGAAGTTTAAGAGTATACTTTCTGTGTTACTAGAGAGAACTAGTTTTATTTTTACATTTTTAGGTTTTAACTATTCAGTGGACTATATGTTGGTCGACTACATTATATGTAGTTGAAACCATGTGTCTGCTATAACAATCTAGTTGATCAACATAAAATCGACTAAGAGTTAAATCAACAAAGATTATTGATATTGTCGATCAACACAAATCAAAACAAATAATAGTAATTCGACTGGTAAAGACTAGTTGATCAACACAAACATAGAAATTATATTTCTTTCCATTATATTGTTCTCTTGGATTTGTAGGATTTGTATTGGATTAAGTTGTCACAAGCAGAACCTCAACGTCAAATACAATGATGTCATCTGAAGGTGCACTACAGAGTTTGAAGATGCACCTAGTTTTGAATCGGAAACACATGCATGCATCTATTCAAACTTCTTAGTTATTTCAGGGATCAGATTTGTAATGGACGAATATTTTACACCTTACTACACTTTGCTTTATCCCACCTATGTGATAGGCTCCTGTTTATCTTATGCTTACACGACCCATGATTTATGATCTTCATTCCATTTCTTGATCTTATGTAGGATCTTGATCTTCACTACCTTGATATGTTCATACCCTTAATTCCTTACAAATAATTTTACATGTTTCGAACTACATGTTGTTCAAAACAGCAACAAGCAACATCACCTAATACAATCCTCGGTCTAGTAATTGTCAAACACCCTTATATATAGTTATACCTCTTTAAATGCTCAAATGTTATACAAATCACTATATTTACTCTTCATGATGTGGTTTATTGTAGGATCAGGTCTTTTTACCACTTAGCTGAGTAGAAATTGTGTTAAAGTTGCTATTTTTTACTTATAAATTTTAAAAAGTAAATAATTTATTAGTACTACGTAAATTCAAAAACTGTGAAATAGTACAAGGATGGATAAATGGGAAGGTATTTGGGTAAATTAAATTTATAAAATATAAATTCAATCACCATCCACGGCCCAGGGTGCCTTTAAGTTTGGTGAATTTGTGACTTTACCGATCTGTAGTAATAAATGTGTGACTTTGTCCCCTGAAGTCAACTTGAAAAGCCAAAGGTGATTGATTTTCCGTTACGGAATACTCTCATGGTATCTTTTCTTGTATTTCTCCGGATGCCGATTTGAACACCGATATATGGATATAATTTACGTTTCATGAAGAAAATGCTAAACAAAATTAATCAAAAGAATTTCACCGCGAAGCACCACAAACGACGGAGGCCTGAAGGATAATGCCCGGAAAGTTGCATAGAATCTTTTTCATATACTACCACCGTCTAGGCATGGACCGGGCCCGGACCGATCCGGTTCAAGTCGGGCTTTTTTTCCATGATGTTAGGCCCGGAACCGGCCAGGGTTGATACCGGGTCCGGGCCAAACAGGGCCGGGCTGGGCCGGGCTGGGCCGGGCCCGGTTCAAGGTAGTTTTTTTTTGGCTTTGTAATTAACCCCCAACCCCCCTCTCTCACCCCCACCCCCCAAAGCCCCCCAAAACATCCATCCCTACCCAACGAAAAGAAAAAAATTGAAAAAAAAATGAACCGGACCCGGGCCGGTTCATGAAAATCAAGGCTCGAGCTCGGCCCGCCAGACCCACCCAAACCGGGGTAAATCCCGAATTCGGTCATCCGGGCCCGCACAATAGCGGACCGGTACGGTTCCTGGGCTAGTTCGAACCGGTTTGGTCCATCCCTACCACCGTCCCAAATTGATTTACGAATTTGACTTTTCTTGGTAAACAGATTCATTTTATTCGCTTAATTAGAATGTCAATTTTTGAATTTTGATTATATTCTACTATGTTGTTTACAACTTTGAAGAGATTTTAGTGTAGTTTCTGAATATGTATATTTTAATTATTAAAAATTGAATTAACTATCAATTAGGATGATTGCGTGACTTTTATTATTGGTTGATCAAAAAATGTTGCCTTTGTAAAACAATTTGG